AATTGGTCAGCACCCAAGACGCCAACCGAAATTCGACAATTCCTTGGGCTTGCTGGCTACTACCGAAGATTTATACAAAACTTCTCCAAGATTGCGAAACCACTCACCACCTTGACGCAGAAAGGTGTGATATTCAAGTGGGAAAATAAACAAGAAACTGCTTTCCAAACGTTAAAACAAGCCCTATGCAGCGCACCGATCTTGTCTCTCCCAGAGGGAACCGAGGACTTCGTAGTGTACTGTGATGCTTCGAATCAAGGCCTCGGATGTGTGCTCATGCAGAGAGGGAAGGTTATCGCGTATGCATCAAGACAGCTTAAGACGCACGAGGTTAATTATACTACGCACGACCTGGAATTAGGAGCAGTGGTATTCGCTTTGAAGATCTGGAGACACTACCTCTACGGCACGAAATGCACTATCTTCACTGATCACAAAAGTCTTCAGCATATCCTCAATCAGAAAGAGCTCAACATGCGACAGAGGAGATGGGTAGAGTTGCTGAATGACTACGAGTGCGAAATTCGTTATCATCCGGGCAAGGCCAATGTAGTGGCCGATGCTCTAAGCAGGAAGGAGTACTCGGGCCGCCGAGTAAAATCCTTAACAATGACAATCCATTCCCACCTGACCATACAAATCAAGGAAGCTCAACTGGAAGCTTTGAAACCAGAAAAGGTGGCAGGAGAGACATTAAGGGGAATGGATAAAAACTTAGAAGTCAAGGATGATGGAGCACGTTATATCATGAACCGGATTTGGACACCGAAGTTCGGTGGACTCCGAGATGTCGTCATGAATGAAGCACACAAGACTCGATACTCCATCCATCCCGGGTCGGATAAGATGTATCTGGACCTCAAGAAATTATACTGGTGGCCGAACATGAAAGCTGAGATTGCTACCTATGTGAGCAAGTGCCTGACTTGCGCTAAGGTCAAAATCGAATACCAGAAACCATCCGGGCTATTACAACAGCCGGATATACCTGAGTGGAAGTGGGAACGAATAACCATGGACTTCATAACCAAGCTGCCTAAGACATCGGGCGGGCTTGACACAATATGGGTAATTGTAGACAGATTGACCAAATCAGCACACTTCCTACCAATGAAAGAAACCGACAAGATGGAGAAGCTGACTAGAACGTACATCAGAGAGATTGTACGACTCCATGGTGTGCCGATATCCATTATCTCCGATAGAGATAGTAGATTTACCTCACGGTTTTGGCAGTCTCTACAAAAATCATTGGGAACTAGGCTTGACATGAGTACGGCCTACCACCCACAAACCGACGGACAGAGCGAACGAACCATTCAAACGTTGGAAGACATGTTAAGAGCTTGTGTGATAGACTTCGGTAAAGCATGGGATACCCATCTACCGCTTATCGAATTCTCCTACAATAACAGCTATCATACTAGCATCAAAGTCGCTCCATTCGAAGCTCTTTACGGTCGCAAATGCAGATCACCCCTGTGTTGGGCTGAGGTGGGGGATACACAGCTAGCTAGAGGGCAAGTCTCTAATAGCACCCTCACTGGCCCTGAAATCATAAGGGAAACCACAGAAAAGATCGTTCAAATTCGAGAGAGACTGAAAGCGTCTCGCGATCGGCAAAAGAGTTACGCAGACAAACGACGCAAACCCTTGGAATTCCAGGTGGGTGATCGAGTACTACTAAAAGTTTCCCCTTGGAAAGGAATGATACGATTCGGCAAACGCGGGAAACTAAATCCAAGGTACATCGGGCCATTCGAAATCCTTGCTAGGATTGGGCCAGTAGCATACAAACTTCGATTACCTCAGGAACTCGACAAAGTACATCCCACATTTCACGTGTCGAACCTAAAGAAGTGTTTGTCTGATGAGACACTCGTAATACCACTCGACGAAATCAAAGTTAACGAAAATCTCCACTTCGTGGAGGAACCAGTCGAAATCATGGATCGGGAAATCAAACGAACGAAACAAAGTCGTATTCCCATCGTGAAGGTACGTTGGAACGCTAAACGAGGACCCGAATTCACCTGGGAACGCGAGGATCAGATGAAACAAAAGTATCCACATCTCTTCCCAAACTCTTGAAATCCCAGTCAAAATGAAAATTTCGGGACGAAATTCCTTCTAACGGGGGGATGATGTGACAACCGTCAAATTTCGGTCAATTCAAAGTCAACAAGTCAAACCGGTCAACTCCAATAACCCTTGTATGCTAGGGTTTACGTTATGTAATCACTATACAATTCGCTATTTTAATGAGAAATCATCATTTGGAAAGTTCATGTGTTTGATTTTCCTTAGCCTTAACAAGTGCTAAACAACGAACCAAAGCGATAAAACACTATTACACAATCATCGGGATTGTGTAAGACACTAAAACACGGTTTAATGGGGTTTACGAACCTTGCGTTGTGAAGCCGGACACTCAAATTAATCACAAACGAAACCTCTCTAAATCGTTTTCACTCTATCTCTTTCTATTTGAAATCTCTCCCAAATCTCTCTCAAAAGTTACTTTAACTTTTTGTAATCATTTGGGTCATCTCGACCCTTGACCGGGTCAAAAATCGCTTGAAACGGGGTAAAAACGAGTAAAATAGCTTTAAGGATCCGAAACCGAAGCTTCTGGACCGAAGCCTCGCATCCGAAGCCTCTCATCCGAAGCCTCGCATCCGAGGCCTCTGATCCGAAGCGAGGGTCCGAAGATCCGAAGCGAGGGTCCGAGGGTCCGAGGGTCCGAAGGTCCGAAGGTCCGCAGACAGCTCCTTTTTACCGGTTTTTCGACTACGACTTCGTTTTAACTCCGTTTTTCATTATTTTAACGTGGGATTTTCACCCAAAACTTTATTTTATAAACTAAGGCCCCAAAATATATAAATCTCCAGGGTTTTTATAAAATATATTAAAAGAATTGGTGATTGAACTAATTATTGAGGGAATATTTGCTTTTCCTTAATTTATGGCAAAAGCAAACCACTACCACCTCACTCTATGATTAGCCACTCTTTCCCACTACCCCTTGTCTCCTTAGTGGACCTTTACAGCCAATCTCCAGCTCTTCCCACGTTCTAAGAGCTGGAGGATTGATCCTCTCTCCTCATTCTCCATAAAACTCTTTCATTCTACACTTAGCAACCAAGAACACTCTCCAAAATTCTCTCATCTTTTCTCTCAACTTCAAGAACTTCAAGGCTTTCTCCAGGGATTTCTTTCTTCAATTAGTAAGTATCTTCATCATTCACATAATTATTAAACTCCATTCTACTCAAATCATTGATATCTTACACAAGTTCCATCTTATTCGGTGTTAGATTCTCGAATCATCAAGACATCTTCTTAGTGTTCTTGAGTTGAACACTTCCTCTCTCTCACTTTCATCTACTGAAACCACATAAGGTGAGTTCATACCCATACATTTACATGTTTTTCTTAAGTTTTAAGGGGGGAATACAAGTAAAATCATCAAGAACACAATTAAACTTTTTCTAACAGATTACATCAGAAAAGATGGACGTTAATCACGGACTGTTTTGGTCAACTTAAATATTTTAGTTTTCAAAACTGTTTCAGGTGCAAGTATTTCAAACTCTTAGCTTTAAAATGACTACTTGCACATCTCCATATGATTTTTCTACAATTTATGGTGATTTTTACAAAACTGCCTGTCATTTCAGAGGCAAACCCGGACCAGTCTGTGATTATGAACATTTTCACCTCTGTTAGAGATCACTAAAAATCATGATAAAATTTACGAACAAACTAGACTCATATTCCAAACTCTCAAATTTGCGGATTTGGATTTAGAGCTTTGATGATTTTTCTATAAATTTTCTAAGAACGGTAACAGAAACTGTTTTTAACGAAAAGTTGCTGTTAATTTCATTTCACCTTGTAACATGTTGAGCAAGGTGTATATCTTTATGTGATTATATGTTACTGCAATATATGACATTTTATCTTAATATTTAGACACACATCAGTTTACAAATGGATTTGGTCATATAAAATATAAAGAATAACAAGTGATTATAATCAAAGTACAATCGATACATTCAAACATTAAATAAACTATTTTGAATATAGTTTGCATACATTACCACGTACTACCCTTGGTTGATAAACTATAATAGGTATAGTTTATGATACATTACATAACACATACATTTAAAAAGGGTACATTTATACAAAGGATATTTTCATTAAGCAAGGTACGGCCATACGGTACCAAGTTTTCATAACACGTAATTCCGTTAATGACTTTGTGAGACATTTACTTCAAATTACCATTAAGTCCTGTATTGTAACCAGAGTCTCCTTGAGGGAGAGCGTGATACTTGTGTATAGATCTATATTGGGTTTGACAAACCCACACCTAAACTGCATGCAACAGTTAGACCGATAGGTCTGGGGTGACAAATGTCATAACATTTCCGACGCCTGAAGAACGTCGTTTTAGGCAACCTTGGTCATAGTATGGTTATAATAAACTCACATAAAGTATTAACAAACATTGGAATTTACGGGGACTTCATTAAAATTTAACGAGTTTATGTCGATTTAAACTTGCATTGTTTTACTATAAATATGATAAATTACTTGTACATTTCGGTCTTTGGGTTTTAAGACTACATTTACACATTAAGGAAAATATTGGATTTTTCTAACACAAATACTACTTTTACAAACGAAAAGCTTATGAACTCACCAACCTTTGTGTTGACACTTTTTCAAACAACTTGTATTCTCAGGAAATCATTAAACAGGTAATCAAGTGCTTTTGAGGATGGGACGTTAAGGCGTCTACTATTTCATATTTTATCAACATATTGTAATTGATTCGTAAACATGTAATTCATACAATGATGTAATTTTTTTTTCAATTATATATATGTTGGTTGTGTTTGCTTGAATTACTATTACAATTGCTGTTATGATACTATACATGAAGTCCTCCACCCCCGGACGTTTCCGCCATCCTTGGTTTGGGGGTGTGACATCTTCTCCGTTTTCTCATCCAGGTAATAGATTCCTCTAATCTATATTTGGAATTTACCATCATCTTCTCCATTTAATTTCTAATTTAGGTGTGTGCATCTTCACTGTTCTCAGCGTCTCCACCGTCGCCACCTGACATCGGATGGTACGCCACATGATCTTCGAAGGAGCACGGAAGTGAATGGGACCAAATCAGTCAGCTTGGTGTTCATACTCGGAAGCTGGTCTTGTTGGCCAAGCCGTCACTGGCCCAAGGTTCTCCCCCCTTTCTCTACTCCCTGTTTCACATGAATAGATTTCGATTTTAGTCAAAGTAATACCAAACGGAGAAGGAGTATTTTGACTATCATACTCTTCTCATCTATGTTTTCCTTGCTCGATGCTGATTTTGCCCAAACAATGCATCCTATGATTTGATAGTAGTCTGTAGTTATTGGCTGGTAAATATGGTCTTAATTCTATTAAGTAGCTTTTCTTCCTTGAGCTATCATCAGAATAAGATTCCTCTTCATGTTATAGTTAAACTTTTATAGTCAAACACATCACATATAAATCCGAAATTACTATGAAATTTACTAGAAATTAAGATAACTACATCGGAATACAAGAAAAGATGAAGATTTGAACAATTTGAGTAAGAATGTAAAACTGTTTGTAATTGCAAATCGAGTTTGAATTTGGAAAGCAATACGTTCGTGTTTGACTTTCAAAGTCAAAATTGTGTTAATTTTTGCAACAGAAATAAGATAATGCTTGTATTTTTTGTTTTTAGACAATTCAAGATTAGTTAATGCCTCATAAATCTTGTTGAAATAGACCAATTATGATATCTTGGTTTTGTTATATTCTTGATTTCTGCTTTTCCAAGTGTTGGATAAAATCTTATACTTTTTTGTTTTTGAATCTTCAAAAGATATATTCAAATCAAAGTTCCTTGTCACCCGAAGTCACATCAAAGTCTGAAATACCACAGGAAGAACTTCAGGGTGGTGTCAAGACTTTATCCCAGAAACTATCAGCAACTCTTCTAAATATCAGTATCAAGGAAAACTTGGTCAAACAACATTCAAAAGTAGCAGAGGAAGCAGTTGAAGGTATCTAAAACTCTTACCTACTTTATATGTTCCAAAAACACCATCTGACCATTATGCCCTTCTCTCTTTTTTGAAAAATGACATGAATGTCCTTATCATTCTCATCATCAAGACTAGCCTAGAAAGTTTGTCAAGTCCAGTCCTGTCTATTCCAGTCTTGTCATACGTTAAGGTCAACGACCTAATTTTGGAACTTTGAACTTGAAATGGAACAATTAACTTTAGACTCGGAAATATAGGTTTCAATCTCACTACCAAAGTATTTTCGTCTTTTCCTTCTTTTTTTTTACTTCTTCATATGTAATTTGAATATATGTTGCTGATATTTGTTAATTTTTTATTGGCCAAGTCAAAAGAAAATCTTAAAAGTTTATTAATTTACTACATATTGATAATTATAGGTTCTTTTATAGAAAAATGATGTTGACATAATAAAACTTTAGAAAATATCCAGAAAATAACATTGTACTCTATAAAAATATCATTTTTTAACATTTTTTACAAACAAAAGGACAATGTTTTGAAAGTGTGAGTATGTTTTGTTTGGGAAAGTTTGTATCGCTGTTGACAGATTTTTAAAGACTGTTTTGCCCCGATTTGATTAAAAAAGTTATTAAATGTGATATGTGCAAAAGGTGGGTTAAAAAGAACAGAAAAGGTTATTTTTCGTCTTTATTTTGGATAAAGGGCATTTTGGTCCTTTTATAGAAAACTGAAATTTACCAATAAAACTTTTGAAAATATACAAAAAATAGCATTCTACTTTATAAAAATATCATTTTTAACATTTTTTACAAACAAAATTACTATGTCTGTTGTGTGACTATGTGTTCCCAAAAAAAATATTGCAACAAATGTGACCGTTTTGCCCCTGCTCGGGAAATATTGGTTTTAATCTGAATTTCATTCCAACGACATATTTTCTTAAGAACATGTTTTCGGGAATAGTATACAAGAAAAGGTTATTAAGAAATCTGACTTTCATTCCAATGACATATTTTTTTAAGAACTGTTTTGCCCCGATTTGATTAAAAAAATTATTAAATGTGATATGTGCAAATGGTTGCTTAAAAAGAAAAGAAAAGGTTATTTTTTGTTTTTATTTTGGATAAAGGGCATTTTGGTCTTTTTATAGAAAAATCAAATTTGACATATTTTTTAAGAACTCTATCCATATGTTTTGATTACAGTTGTGGGATCTGTTGATGAACGTTTTTATTATAGCAACTTACTTTCAAACTTGAAACCATTTACAACAATGTAGTTAAAAAAATAACTGTAACGTGTGTTTATGTTCAACTTTGTTGTTAACATGGTTTGTAGTAATCTTTATGCTTTTGAAAATTATGATAAAAAAATATTAACTACATATTTGCAATAGAATAAAGTCCATTAAAAATATGCAAATTATAATTGTTTGTAGTAAGAAAAATGAGACACAATAAGTTTTGCATAAGGGTATTTTTGCATAAGAAAAATGAAACCGATCTGTTGCATGTTCTTTAGAATACAATACATTTCCAAAAATAAAATCGACAAATATTATATTCATTTTTAAATTTTTGAGTATATTTGTTAAGTTTCATATGATTTGAAATATTTTTGGTAGGGACTTTGATAGTTATTATATTCATTTTAAATTTTTTTAGTTTATTTTAAATTTTTTTAGTATATTTGTTAAGTTTGTAAGATTTTAAATATTTTTGGTATGGATTTTAATATTCATTGTAAGATTTTAATTTGCTTAATTTTTGGAATGATTATCAATATCCAAAAATACATCATTTTCTATTCTATAATAGATTATTCCACCTATAAATTTAAATTATGTTCTTCATTTTTAACTCTCACAGCATAATTTGACAGTTAGGGTTTTGGGACGATTGGATCATTGATTTGGAATCGGGAAAACTGTTTCATCGCGTTTCTTGACACGAATTCAGGTTCTCTTTACTTCTTCTATCTTTTGTAACTTCAAGTGTGTATAATATTTTATTTCTTACTTCTGTTTGAAGTGATAGACTTCTTTTGTTTCAAATGATAATCTTATTTTATCTTCTATCTAAAGTGATAATCTTCTTATTCTTCTATCTCAAATAATACATGTATATATGTATGTATGTATTTGTTTCTGACATTGTATATATGTGTGGTTTGTATATGTATATGTATAAGTTGGGACATTGTGTTTTTCAGTTTGAGTTTGAGTGAATCATACATTCAATCGGAAAAAAAAAATCAATATGTTGGACCTTTTTATGATATTAACCATCAACTTTATTTTATATCTAAAATTTATGTTAATATCATAAGTGACCATATGTATTAAGTTTTTTCAATTAATTGATATTTCACCCTGTCAAATAAGATTAAGACAATACAGACAAAATAGTTTGCAGATTGGTGTAGTTTATATATCTTAGATGCTCATTTCATGTTTAATGCAGGGCTAGCAGATGAAGCAACATGATTGCAGATTGGTGTAGTTTATATATTGGACATATTATAAATGTACAAAACTACATGATTGCAGATTGTTGTTATTTATATATTGTAAAATCAAGTATGAACTATTAGATGAAATTCCAAATGTAGACTCAACTTTTGTCATATTTTATGACTATGCACCTAGCAAGAAACTATGCATTGAAATGAACTATTCGACACAAAATAGTCTACCAAATGGTTGCAATGAATAGCTCACGTCTAAAGGAAACTAATCATCACATTAAAACTATCTTTCAAAAGAAACTCTTTGCCGCCCGGCGCTTAGCGTGGGTAAACGGCTAGTCAATCTGTAAAATCATATACGATGTTAGTACTATATTATTAATAATGTTATAAATTTGATCAAGAATGCAATATTTATTAAAATGGGAAAAAAAATTATTTTACAATTGTTCTTAATATTTTACTTAAAAAAGACGGGTGACTCATAATTCATAAGAAGCGCAACTAATCAAGTTAACATTGATTAACTCACTATATAATAGATTAAAAACTAACAAAATTATCATTTAAAAGTAATAATAAAATGACAAAATTGAACTTATGGTTTGTCAAAACTTAGGACTTTGGTATAAAAAGTTTTGGAGTTGCACCACTAAATCCAAAATAAGAATTTTATTATGATTTTAGTCATTGGTTATGAAAGTATTATTTTGCCCTTATCATTTTCCTTTTCTATTTCTTTTATTTACTTAATTATTTTTAGAATTAAAAAAAAAACAAAAAGAAATTAAACCTTCCACCTAATAACCCACACTTCTCTTTCTTTCCTATCCCACCGGACACCACCGGACCGTCCGAAATCGCCACCACTCTCGCCGGAAACCAAAACCAAATTGCCGTCACCTTCTCGGTTCGTCTTCTCCATCGGAAATCACCACCATTCTCGACAGAAGTCGTCACTAACTTTTCCATTTTCGCTATTAATCAGTCGTCGCCACCACAATTCAACGTTGCCTCCACCACCTTCTTCTTTATCCTTAGAGTTTTCAGTAGATTCTCTAGCGTCGTCGTCCTCATTTTCTGAAATCCTAACACCATTTTCCATTTGACAAACATAAACGCTGGAACTCGACCTTGTACGATGTCGATCTTGTAAAGGACGAACCGTAAATGCCACTGGAAAATCAAAGCAGAAGAAAATAGTTTGAACTAGATGTTGTCGATCCGACGAACAGATCCGCTGCAATCCATCAACAGCTTCTATGTTTCTCCCTCCTTATGCAACTCCGGTCACCAGGCTACTTTGGATCTCCTTTGTTCTACAACGTTGGCCATGACTACTTTATTTCTCCATCATCTGTAATTTCGGCCATTGAGATTGAGTGGCGCAGGTGTCCAGATCTTAAACCATTGTGTATTTCTGACATTTCCTTCCATGATTTCTAAATTTTATGAATGAGATGAACACAAGATTAATTGTGGAAAAATAATATGATGCTTGTATTTTGTGTTTGTGTTGAATCTGGTTCAAATCTTCATCTGGAAATGGTTTTCAGATATTTATCTATTTCATCTGTGTATGTGTGTAATAATCAGGAAGATAAATAGATGGTGAGGGTTAACAAATCTAATAGTTCTTGAGATTTCTTTGAGTTCGTAAGAAAATGGTGACTAGTGGTGGTGGTAGCGGTGACCGGTGGTGGTTGTAACATCCCAAAAATTATAAGGAAAAATTTACATTTTTAATTCAGCCAAAACATCAATTATCCTTTTATTCAACATTCAAAGGTATTTCATATTAAAACAGTCATCAGAGTACAATCCAAAAACTATTACATTGCGAAAACATGGGTGGATGCGCAGCGATCAAGCCGGACCCTTCCCTTTCGAACCGGAAGTACCCGAAACAAAAATGAAAATCGTAAGCACAAAACTTAGTGAGTTCCCTAAAATACCAAATACCATACATACAATAGAGAATGCTATGTGCCAACCATAGTCTCACCATTATGCCACGAGCCTTATCATGGTCTTTCCTTGTCAGGTTGGGGGCCAAAACCCTGGGTCTTACAGACAAGTGCCAAGAGCGACCTTCTAGTCTTCCATGCAAGCATCACACAGACAACTAGCATACAATCTATATCTAACTATCTACTTATCTACCAGGGTCCGATCCCTGGTCTAGCATACAAAATTGTCATGAGCCACCTCTGGGTCTTTCATACAAATGACAAGGGCCATCCCTGGTCTTCCTATAATACATAAGCCAATGGGCCGATATTGGTGCCTTCGACCCATAGTACAGTGAGGAGACTCACCTCAAGCCGCTGGATATCTCAGATAAAAGCTCGGACTGTTGATCCGTAAAATCCCGCTCTAACACCATCAAATAATATCTAATTAGTAATTGGTCCACGACCCATAACTGAAATCCTAGTCCGATGTCCAACCTTCAGGGTAAAAGTCCATTTTACCCTATCCTCACTTTGCCTAATTCCAAATCAAATCCAATAGCATCAAAAGCCCAATAAGGCCCAACTTCCTAAATGGAATCCTAAAGCCCAATCTTCTAAATTGGTCCCAAAACCCATCATGGGCCTAACTCCAAGAAAGCCCAATATACTAGCAAAAGCCTAAAATCAAAATGTTTAATGGTCCAACAAGGTCCAAACCCTAAAAGTCCAAAGCATGGCCTAATCTGCGAACGTCAAGCCCAAAAGTCTATCTGCTGAGTGCGCGGGGCTACTCAGCTCGTACGCTTAGCTTACTCCTTACGGGGCCAGTACGTGCAGCGTACCAGCTGGGTACTCCTAACAAACTCCCCAGATCACCAATCCACTCCATTAAGCACTTATTTGGTTAAGACAACATGCCAAACTCTCAGATCTGATTCTAGAAGGTATCTTAATACGAAAGTTGGCAACTTTACACCCATGCATGACTTAATGGGACCCAACACTCAAAAAGAAACTTAATAAGGCTCTTAACACTTTCATGGACCAATATCTTTCATAAAGTTTGCATTTTTATGAACAAGGGACCTCCATGGAGCTAAGATTTAACATCCATGGCCTCTGGAGTAGATCAAAGCTCAACTTTATCTCAAAAGACCCAAAATGCACAAACAAGGTCCCAAAACAAGATCTAACATGATGAACCATCAAGTAGAGAACTTTATACCTCAAATGGCTTGCAAAGACGATGATGAATCTGGATCTACAAGCCCAAGCCACTCCCAAGCAACCACCAAGAGTTCTTTTTCTTCTTCTTTCACTAAAACACCAGCCAATGTCACTTTCAAGCTCAAAAGTCACAAGAGGAACTTAGGGTTTTGTTTTTAGGGTATAGGGTGATGGAGGTTGGTTAAAAGAATGTCCAAAGGTGGTTTAAGATGTTTAAATAGGGAACAAACCCTAAAAATTAGGGTTTGTCTCTGCCTTGCGTATGCTATGCATACTCCCACGCACGCCCAACGTACGTGGATGAATCTTGCTATCATCTTCAACCTAGTACGCCCGATGTACTCATAGCATACGCCGCACGTACTCGGCTAGGGTCCAAAACCACAAATCTCCCAAAGGCCATAGCTTCTTTGTTCAACGTCTGATTTTGACCTTCTTTAAATCCACGGAAAGGTAGTGAGAATCTCTATAATTCTATCAATTCCCTTTTGTCGTGAAACTTCCCGAGCTGATATCCAAAATTCATAATATGCACAAACTAACGCTTTACGGTTAAACCCTTGGGCTTCGAAACAAAACCGAACTCTCAGATCACCTAATATATAATACCCACATCCAAAAAGGGTTGAAATCTCTCCTCCCCTAACGAAGCCTTATGATAACTAATCTTTGGGTCACGACCCCAAATAATGAAGCGATTTGAAATCGGGTGTTACAACTCTCCCCCACTAAAATCAGATTTTGTCCTCGAAATCACTTCTTACTATCATCCAACAACACCAGAAAACTTGAACATCCCAACTACAATTCTGATACGGACTAAGAGAGCACTCACACCTACAAAAACATTCCAAAATTGATCATAATACTTCCAACCCTTGATTATCTTGTTGCTTCCATTGGAAACCGAATCACTGACCATTCATTGTTGCTGAAAACGTTTCACTTGATAAAAGGCTTAGATAATCCTTCGATTAAAAGACTCATCCATACAACGGTTAGACTCAGACGAGAGCTACACAACAGAGTCAAATCAATTACTCTGAGATTATTTAACTCGTGCATCAAGTGACTTAACATATCACTTAATCACAAGGCGACTCCTAACACGAGTCCCAAACACTAGCACCACCTCAGGCTCATTTTTCTGTCCCATAATTACACATTTCTGCTACAATCGAGACCTCCCTGGTCTTATACTTACCTACCAAATGATTGATATACCGAATTTCCAAGAAGTTGTTGAGACTAATAGCCTCATA